AGGAGACAGCCTGTGCATGTCTTTTTTTTCTTTTCCTTTAGTTTTATAGACCTGCATCTCTTGTTTGGTAAACATATTATCTGAGTAAAGTATATTTTGTCTTCCTTTTTCTTCCTATTCTCCCTCCTGTTCTATATCTCAGGGCCATCATTTGTCTGTATGTGAGGAGACCTGGATCTGGATTTCAGCTGGATCTCTGAGGCTGAGCTTTTGCCTTTCTACAAAGAGGAGGATAAAACATAGAAAGGAAGGAAAGAAGACAAAGCTCCAATTCATGTTGAGTGTACAGGCAAACAGGTACTGCTGAGCAGGGGTCACCCCTGACAAACAGTCATATATTCTTGTGATGACAATTAATTATACTTTTGAAAATATCTAAGCTCTAAACAACAGGCATTTCATTTCAAAGAAAGGGGAACAGAGCAACACTCACTGCATGAGAGAATAATAGAGATGAGAAAGCACATCTGTGAGTCACAGCACAGAGCTCACGAGCCCTGCAGCAGATTCTCCTGCCAACCACATCTATAAAGGATGGACTTTGAAGGATTTTTGCATTTACTCAAAGTAAAACATTCATGAGCCTGCAGTATTAACACAAGCCCACAGTGATTCCCAGAGCCCTGGTCCTGGACATTCCATCCCAAGCTGACACGTTCCATTACGGCTTCATTGTATTCACACATGGTTTTGGGCACATCAAGGGCTCAGCTCTCAAGCTGATCAAGGAATATGTATTTTACAGCTGGGCTTTGTGGAAGGGGGCAGACTTCGTGCACTACAGGGATTCTAAAGAGTTCCTACAAAGTGTGAAAGAAGAGTAAATTCTAGAAACAGAGGAACATTCTCAAAGTCTCAGCCAGCAGAAAAGGAACTCTCAGTGTTCACAGAATTCACAGTGGTAAACACACAATAAAAAATAGAAAAGAGAGTCCTTAGAAGTTATTTTATCCATTAGCCTGAAAATTCCACCATTCCTGTGGGGTCAATGTAAGTAAAAAATTAGTCCCGAGAAAAAAATTCCTCCCACTGAAGGACTACAGAAAAATTACATTCTCTAGAATACGTGTAACAATTAAAAAGGTGCCATTTTATTCTTTCTCAATGGTCCCTTCTCCCTCTAGTATTTACCCCAATCCAGACATTCTCATTACAACTAATGTTAAGAATAGTTATCCAACCTCAATTCCCACTGGGGAGAATATTGTAAATCAAATATATTCCTTTAAAAAAAAAAAGAAAGAAAATGATCATATTTCAGGTAAAAGCTCCCTCAGACTCCTGGAAGAAGTGACTTAGAAAAGCATTGACTCTTTTTGTGTCATGACATTTTCTCAAATGCTCTTTTGAAGTAAAAGAGTTGCAGACATAGGAAGTGTGTGTTAGTCAGTGAAAACAGAGATCCCTGGGGAGCCTACAGAGAGCACAGAAGGCACTACTCAGTTATGGTTTTATTGCAGGTGGAGCCTGGCTGCAGAAAAAAAGTTGTTCCACAACATATCAGACTTGCCCTAAATCGATTAGGAATACATTTCATCTTGTCTTGGATAGGGAGTTATTACAGATTATCTACATTCACACTAGGAGCTCTTTTCCTCTGTTCCTACAGAATTTCAGGAATAATCTGCATGTGAACAAGCAGAAATAGGCCAGAGACACTTAAATATTTATCTCCACATAAGAACGTATCAGTAGACCTCAAAAGTATGGGAATTCTACATCAGAGTCCCAAAATGAATTTTCATTTACTAGTGAATAAGCAGGATACTTCATTCTGGTTACACAAACCATTCCACTCCAATACACCATGTTCAAACACTTTGCCTCATTCAATTGTACAGCCTGACAACTGCCAAGGTACCTGCAAAGCACACACAGGTATATTTTTCTTAGCCTGATTGTCATAGCTGGCATTTGCTACCCATGAACTTTGACATCACCATATCCAAAATGCAAATTCAGCTTAAACTGAGCCCATGGCTAACATTATGTTTGGGTTCCACAGTGCCAGGCAACACAGTGTGTCTATTTTGGTGTGTTTACTGGATACATAAATACAAGCAGGGAGTACATGCATCTCTCCATCCTCCTCACAAAACCACCTTTCACACTTTATTATCTCTTACTAAAGCCTACTGTTGGCTTGATTGAAGTGTGTAGGTTGCACTATACTTACCTGCAAATAAAGCACCTTCATTTGGTTCTTAAGTTACTTCAGAAGCTCTCCCTGTTATTACATGCCTCCTTTACAAATTATGAATTTCACACACTTCACTGCTTTTGTGTTTCATTTAAAGTCTTGTTTATTGGTGGCACAAAAGTAAAGCTTGACTGGTGCTGTCTGCCTTTTTCTTTTCATGCTTTCCCTCATGGGATGCAATTCAACTCACATTACTGATGTGAAATATTCATTTCTGTGAATCTTTCAAGTAGGTCTGAACCAAGCAGGTTCCAATGTTTTCTACCCTCAGAAAGAGTGGAAGAATCATATTACAGATTTTCCATCCTTTCATATATATGATTTAATGACAGAACATATATAATCATCTTTCTCCACAAATACTGTTGAAGTTAAAATCTGTGCCAAGCCAAAATCTGTTTTTCTACCACAAGATCACAGGATCATCTCTTATGGCTTCTTCAAATGTAAGGTTGTTTTTTACAAACTAATGACTTTTACACCTCAAAAGGCTTTTTTATTATTACTTATATTGTGCATACAAAACTTTAATTTCTTTTAAAAATAAATCATTCACTTTACCTGCGTTCAGAAATGTGTAATTAAAGAGGAGACAACTCTTGTAAGTTGTCTAACTCTGTATCAGAGTTCTTATGCACAGACTGCAAACTGAGTAACTATATGATTCCCCTTGTTCATGTAATGTTCAGAGAAGCAATATTTTTCTTTAGTGCTGTTTTAAAAATTAGAAAGGTTTTTTCACTGTAACAGAGAGCATATCAGATCTTAGGGTTATGTAAAAACATAGTTATCATCTGTTATCAGCTATTTCTGTTAGCTTTCCTCTCTTGGTAAAATGTTTGCCACAGGAAAAAAAAAAAAGGTGGATAATCAACATTGCTGGAACAAGGGGCGGGTTTGTGTTTGGTTTGGGTTTGGGTTTTTTGAGATTGGTTTTTGTTAGGTAAACAAACTGAAAGACTTCCAGATGCTCTAGTTTTTATCCTCAGGTACTCCTGGAGTGATTGCGGTTTGTATTTCAATTTATATATATCCATAAGCACACAAACCCAAACACTGTGACTTACATCAGCTTAGTCATGTGATGTTGTGTGAGCTCAGTTAAATGCAGGTTACTGAATTCTGACTGCCTATTTTGAAAACTAGAAAACTTTGCTTTCCATGCTAGTTTTGCAAGGAAATAAATTACACAGATGCACTGCCAGCCTGTCACTTCTCATCCCCTCCCTCACAACTTTTGAATGAATTGGCTAATTTTGATCAAATTTGACAAAAGGACCTGGTCTCAAAAATATGAAGTTCCAACAAGTTTCCATGAGAACTGACAGTTGAGTAGGAGATGAAGACTGACATGAGTCTTCCCAGTGAGGTAAATAT